AGCTTTCATTACTAAAAGGAGAAGGACGTGAATTGAATATACAAATTATAGTTTATAGTTTATTGCCCGGGTTGGTCTCTTGCCCAACTGTGTGAGGTCACGTAGGCCACGTGGTGCAGTAACTTGTCCGTATATGTAAACATGAAGGACCTCTCGTGATCATGCAGACACCGAGTGGTGTTCACGTGGTGTAGTATCTCGTCTTTGGGTGTTGATATGACCTCGCGTGGTCATGGGGACACCGAGTGGTGTTCACGTGGTGTAGTATCTCGTCTTTGGGTGTTGATATGACCTCGCGTGGTCATGGGGACACCGTGTGGGAGGGGTGGTAACATAGTGCCTCACTCTCTTCTAAGTGGCATTGTGTTATAGAACCTAGGTGACATCCTTAATAACTCATATCATTGTATCAAAGCTGGATGATCGTCATACTCGATTACGAATGATAGCAAAGTAGTAGTAATAGTGTGTATGTGTTGTGGTTAACTATTGCTTTCAACTTAGGAATAATAATATTAATAATAATAATAACAATAATAATACTACTACTACGTGGCCTCCAGCCTCCCCTGATAGCCACAACTTCGCCGCCATTTTATTACCTCGGTATTAACTATCGTAATACATATGTAGCTATCCTAGCTGTGTTGAATTAGTTGAGCCGCAGATCTATGCAGCATTCAGTGACTGTAACCTCATAGTCAATATCTGCAACTGTTGTTGGCTTTGGGGCCGAAGCTCTTGTTCCCCTGAGGCAGAGCAAAGTCGACCGAAGGAGAGAGAAGGACAGTCGACATCTCATCCAGGCTGTAACATAACTTCTGGGCTGCTGCTTCTGTTCGGAGATCACCTCCGCGAGTCTGGCATTGAAACATCTTGCACTTGGTCCCATCCCACCAGAGATTGTGAACACTAGACGAGTGAAGCTGCCTTGAGCAACGTTCTGAAATCTCTCCCCACATGCCCTTATCTTGTCGTTCTCGTTCCTCCTGTGTGCAGCATCGAGAGCTAAATTACGTTGACATGCGGCCGTGGAATCAAAATCCTAATGTCGAAAAGGGCTCACTGTCCCCGCGTCCAGAATCCTCGATCTCTGACGTCAACACGGGCTTCATTGGATGTGTTTGAAATCCTATGTTGGAAGATCTCACCATCCAATGGAAGGAGGGTCGGTTCTACCATGACATCACGGCAAATTTCCTTCAACATATTTGCTGTGAGATCCCTTACTTCGTCATGCCTCATGCATATGAAGCCCCCTTTCTTGCACACGATGGCGTGATCGACGTCATAGGAAGAGCCACACACGCATTGGGAGGGCAAACCTTCTACTAGCCTACTGTTCCTTAGAGCAATGGGATCTGTAAATTCTTGTTTATTGAGACTGAAACCATTTGTCCTTATCGGTAACGTAGTTAACCAGTTCGAGGCGCCCATCTCCTGTGCTATAGCTACTTTTTTTCAAATTCTCTGGTACTTGCAGTATCAGTTGCTGCAACTTATCACTTTGGCCGTGCTGTCGTTCTGTCGTTATGGACTTTCGAATCTTGTTTACTTCGCTGGTATCCACCTCCCCTGTTGCGTTCTGAGCTATTATGTGGTCCGTGAGGGCTGTCGTGAGCTTAACTGAGTTTTGATGTTCGGTGGCAGAATCTCCTCTGGATTGGTCAGTCCCATTCCTCCCAGTCTCCGTGGTAGTGCAAGGAGCGATCTTTCTGCTGGGGTTAAGTGAGGGTGTTTCACTAATTTGGGAATGAAATTGACGCTGATAGCTTCTTCCAGAGGGTGGAGAAGGGGTACGATATTAGGGATAGTGCGCATCATGTAGTTCCAGCGATGCTTGACTCCATGGGTGAATGCCGCAAAAGTCGCATGTGGCTCTGTGTTAGCAATCTCAGACATAGCTTGGATTTCCCTAACCCACTCATTCATCTTTCCCGTTACGTCCTCGGTCTTGAAGTCCGTCGTGCCAATTACTGTGCCTAGATGTCTTTGGCCATCCTTTGTTATTTTGACCTCACTTCCACCGAACACCTCCATTGCCAGTTCATAACGTTCTGGCTTCATAATGAGGAAAGACTTGCTGGCGTTTGGGTGGTACCCTATATGTGGGCCTCGTGATGTTACCAAGTCCCACCACTTTTTGATTACCTCCACTTTTCCTTCTGTAAGGTCATCAGCATATGCCACTTCCTTGACCTCAGTTGTTTCAAATTTTATTATGTGTTGGAGCACGGATAAGCCTATTGCGTACATTGCCATTGCAACAGGGTCCCCAGGCGTTGTTCCCTCTGTTGACTGTATGATGGTATCACCTCTTAGAGCCTTGTTGTTTACTATATGAAAGTTCTGGTGGATTCCTATAGGAGTTTTCAATATACATTGCAAAGCTTGGACACTTGATCTTGATGTTGTGCAGTGCGGCCTTGCGGTTAAGTATGTTGAATGCGTTTGAAGCGTCCACCAGGAGAACGGCCACACAAACGCGCTGCTCAAATATCGTTCTCATGGCGTGAATGGCAGCTTCCCCTCCAGCTTGATGGCCAACACAAATTATCAGGCTACCTGTTGTAGCCCTGACATCATCCTTTACCACCTCCATTATGCATTTTCCGATGATCCGCTTCAGCACTTCCCCCACCCCTATAGGCCTACATCCTGTATTCTTATCCAGAGGAATGAGGCGGCAGGCCGTCAGATCATGGAGGTGTTGGCAGCACGAGGTTGCCAGCTTTCTTGCAAGGACGGCAATGGCCGTGCAGAGATCACTTGCTACGGGGCCAATCTTGTTAGTGCTGAGGGTGACTCTCCAACCGTTTGCATCCAGACCTGAAGGGCCTGCACCTCCCTGAGTCTTCAGTGCCCTTTTCCACACCATACCTTCTGTTATTTTCTCGAACAGGACAGCATTTGGTGGGATATAGGCACCCTGGAACCTGATGCCTTCATCTTCACTTGCAGGGGGATGTTTTGCTTTCAGTTGTTTTAATTGCTCTCTGTTTATTGGCCGAACTCCACTGGAGGATTCCTCTGTGAGAGATCTTACCGCCAAAGACACAATTCCCGCACGCATTTTGTTTCCAAACTTTCTTGCAACGTCATCGGTGTTTTTGCTTTCCGTCTTTGTAGATTTTAGTCTCTCCTACCTAATTGAAAGAGCGTGGCTGCCGGAAGGCTGAAAATATACACTTACATAATTGGGGATTGGGTCACTTGAATGACAAATAATATGCAGGTAACATAAATGATACAAATATGATATATAATGACTAGGTGGGTATTTCAACATAGTAAGAGTGCAAAAAGGTAAGATTGGCTGGGAGTGAATACTCTGGTTGACTACGAGTTGTTGATAATTTCGACAATGGTTTGGATTGGGCTGTTCTTATAGCAATCAGTACGTGCTCGTGTGGGCTGGATGCGATTGTGGTGTCGAACAGCAATTCTCGGACGAGGGATCTCGGGTGGAAGTAGGAGCCGGTGTCGAGGATGACGCAGAAGCTTCTCACCAAATTTTCAAATGAGGTCATGGTGTTGATCAAAGAGAGCAGAGAGGGTTAGTGTGTTGAGCTCTTCTTGATATGTGGAGTAGGAGGAGGAGAGAATAATCTTGGATGCCCTCTTTTGCACTTTTTTAGGTGTTTCCGTTGTGAGGTATTTAGGAAGGAAGACCAGGCAGAGGAGGCGTAGTTGAGCTTGGGAAGTATGAATGTTGAGTAAATACTCAGGAAATCCAAGGGACTTGAGTCGTCTGGAGGTAGTGGAGACGAAAACTGGAGGATTTGACAACTGTACTGACGTGTGTTTTCCAACTCAGTTTGTTATCTATGGTGACACCGAGGAGTTTAGTGGAGTTCATAACCTGGAGTGTATTGGGGCCTAAAGTAATGGAGGGAGATGGGACAACGTCGGAGGAGAGGTTGATGTGTATAACCATGGTCTTGGTATGGTTGATGATGACGTGGTTGTTGGTGGCCCAATTTTGGAGACTGTTCAATAAATCCTGAAGGGTGGTGTAGTAGGGAGTCGAGTTGTTGACACTGATCCTAATGGTTGAGTTTTCGACATATTTCCAGGAGCAGGGGTTTCTCTTAGGGCATCATTGATAAGCATACTGGATTAGAGCGGGGGGACGCCACAGGTGAGTGACTTAAAAGTGGAGACAGCCCCTCGGAAGCGTACGGCTTGGCGTAGGTTATTAAGGAAATCTGTAAGCCATGGTATAAGACTTCTTTGTACCCCGAGGTTGGTAGCTTTGTTGATGATTCAATTGTGGTCGACTTCGTCAAATGCTTTGGTGAAGTCAATGAAGGCGACAGCCACATGCGTCTTTCGTTTTTCCAGATGGCGGTATATGTAGTCGAGAGAGCTGACAAGACAGTGAGTGGTGGAGGAAGTTTACATTGTTGCCAAATTGCTGTGGATCAATGGAGCCTTCAGTATCAGCATAAGCTCGGTCAAACACGAAACTTTCGCAGATTAAGCTGGGTATTGGAGTGATGGCAATGGGTCGTAGCTCACTTAAAGATTGTTGGCTGGTTGACTTGGGCACTGGTGACATATATGAAGTCTTCCAGTCAGCTGGGCATCTTGCTTGGCTGAGGGAAACATTGATGACGGAGTAGAGGGGTTAAGCTAGTTCCGGGGGACAACTCCTTGTAGAGTTTCATTGGAAAGTTGATGGGGTTGGTGGATCGCTTTAACTTCAATTTGTCCAGATGTTTTGCTTCTTCAAATTCTTCCACTAAGTCAGTGGGAAATGGAACTGGTAGGTAAGCAGGGAGATTGGTTGTGGAATGCCTGGGGAGCGTCTGGCATATAGTTGAGAAATGATTGTTTCATTCCTCAGCTGCGTCACCATTAGTGAGATGGCTAAGGAATGGGAAGCGGTGTGTATTATTATTTAGTCCACAGAGTTCTTCAATCTTACCGTACCACTGACTGATGTTGGTTTGCTTCAGGTGTTTTAACTTGGTTGGGTAGTGAGACTTCTGTGCAGTATGTATTTCGTGAATGACTTTGTTGCGAAGGGACCTGTAGCGGTTGTGGCCATTGAGATAAAAGGTGCTGTCTTTCTGTTGCATAAGTCTTTTGATCCGAGGTGTGATCCAGGGCAAGTCAGCTGGGTCACTTGGGTGTGAATTGACGGACTTCTCGTGGAAGAAGTGGTGGTAAGCTTCCGTGGTGGTGTTATTATAATTGTTTTCATTTGGGTTCCACGTCATCTACACAAAGTACTTCAGTCCAGCGATGGTGAACTATCCACTGCCCGAAGAGACGCACTACAGAGTCAGTAATCGGCCTGTAGGTCTTGGTGTAGGGTCTCTGCACTTGGCTGGTAGTGGGAGATGGAGACCAGAACACTGATAGATGTGTGCTACACCCAAACATTGGTTGAGGAGGTTGGTGTGTGTGTGTGTGTGTGTGTGTGTGTGTGTGCGTGTGTGTGTGTGTGTGTGTGTGTGTGTGTGTGTGTGTGTGTGTGTGTGTGTGTGTGTGTGTGCGTGTTGGGAGGGGCAAACTTTTCGAACACCATAAGAGAGTGTGTCACACCAGCGCTCACCAATATCAACAGAACGTTATGACAAAACAGTCAACACTGCCACATTTATTATTTATTTTTATCTTTAATCTAAAAACATTTTCACGCATTTAGTATTTGTTTCTTCTATTTATTTTCAGAAAATTTGACTTTCGACATGTTTGGCCCAAATCCATATTATTCTAAACTTTGTGTTCGGGAAAAGAGTAAATGAATAAACATGAGGGAGGAACATGGCCACGGACCGCCCATGACACAACACCTGCAGTATACTGTATGTCTCACTAACATTACTGCTGGTGGAGAACAACTGGTGGAGTGTCTACTACCACAGCTGGTGGAGTGTCTACTACCACAGCTGGTGGAGTGTCTACTACCACAGCTGGTGGAGTGTCTACTACCACAGCTGGTGGAGCTTCCACTATCACAGTTGGTGGAGCATCTACCACCACAGCAGGTGGAGGGTCCACTACCACAGCAGGTGGAGGGTCCACTACCACAGCTGGTGGAGGGTCCACTACCACAGCTGGTGGAGGGTCCACTACCACAGCTGGTGGAGGGTCCACTACCACGGCTGGTGGAGGGTCCACTACCACAGCTGGTGGAGGGTCCACTACCACAGCTGGTGGAACTTCCACTACCACAGCTGGTGGAACTTCAACTACCACAGCTGGAGGAACTTCCACTACCACAGCTGGTGGAACTTCCACTACCACAGCTGGTGGAACTTCCAACTACCACAGCTGGAAGGAACTCACTACCACAGCTGAGGTGGAACTTCCGCTACCACAGCTGGTGGAACCCTTCCACTACCACAGCTGGTGCAGGCATCTACTACATTTAGCTGGTGGAACTTCTAACTACCACAGCTGAAGGAACGCTTCCCACTACCACCACAGCTGGTGGAACATCTACTACCACAGCTGGTGAACTTCAACTACCACAGCTGAGAACTTCCACTACCACAGCTGGAACTTCCGCTACCACAGCTGGTGGAACTTCCACCTACCACAGCTGGTGGAGCATCTTTACTACTGCAACTGAGCCAGGAACTTCGCTTCTACCTACAGCTGGAGGGAACTTCCACTACCACAGCTGGTGGAACTTCGCTACCACAGCTGGTGGAACTTCCACTACCACAGCTGGTGGAGCATCTCCTACTACCACAGCTGGTGGAACTTCAACTTCTACAGCTGGAGGAACTTCCACTACCACAGCTGAAGGTGGAACTTCCACTTCACAGCTGGTGGAACTTCCACCTACCACAGCTTTTGGAGCTTCCCATGTCACAGCTGGTGAAAGTCCACTACCATAGCTGGTGGAACTTCCCCTACCACAGCTGGTGGTGGAACTTCCCACTACCACAGCTGGGGGAACTTCAACTACCACAGCTGGAGGAACTTCCACTACCACAGCTGGTGGAACTTCCACTACCACAGCTGGTGGAACTTCCACTACCACAGCTTTTGGAGCTTCCCATATCACAGCTGGTGGAAAGTCCACTACCATAGTTGGTGGAACTTCCACTACCACAGCTGGTGGAACTTCCACTACCACAGCTGGTGGAACTTCAACTGCCACAGCTGGTGGAACTTCCACTACCACAGCTGGTGTAACTTCCACTACCATAGCTGGTGGAACTTTCACTACCACAGCTGGTGGAACTTCCACTACCACAGCTGGTGGAACTTCCACTGCCACAGCTGGTGAAGTTTCCGCTTATGCAGTTAGTGAAGTGTCCAGTAAGACAAAGATAAAGTGTTTTGACACGTCTCATTGGTTACACACTAAAGATGTTGCTTCTATTTGTAAGGCATTTTCCATTTTCAAGGTGCAGTTCTTAAGATACTGGTATATAAATTAATATTCTTCTCTCCCATTAAGAACACGGCAACATATGCTTGACAGTATGTTTATAATGTGTGTTTGTCGTATTTGTGTTTACTAATTTCAGATTATAAACAATGACTAGAGCACCTTTACAATACTGACCACTGTTGGTGACATAACGTCTTGCACCCAAACTTCAGTGATCAGCTCTTATTATGACAGTAACTTAATTTGTTAAAATGTGGCTTATTGTCTAATTCGAAAAGCTTATTACAATTTATTATTAAATGATTAACCAAACATGGTAATGTATACCAGACCCACGTGGCTGACACCTTGTTGACTCGTAGATGTCTGAGTGTGCACTTCATTGCATATTGCTTATAAACTTTCACGTAAATAAATAAAATATAAGAAGGTAAAACTGTTACCTCCAGCACAGCCAATGATCAACGAGAACCTTTCCCAGTAGAAGGATTCTGTTCTTATCATAGATAATGAAGATGCATTACAAAAACTCATTAGCAGAATAGTGGAAAAAGTTGAAAAATATGGTTTAAGAGTTAATGCTGTAAAGACGAAAGTAGTGTTTATTTACAAATTGAATTTAAATAAAAATTATGGTAGGCAACAGGGAACCTAAACAAGTGAAAAATTTTGTTTAGTATTTGGGAAGTAACATTAGTGAGGAAAAAATCAAAACAATAAACGGTCAAACAAAAACAGCGTTTAATAGTCTAAAAGACCTAATGAAAGGGAACATTAACTTCAATTTGAGAAAAAAGTCTGCTGAAAGTCTTTGAGTGGCAATGATTATTGTATGGGTCAGAAGCCTAGACACGTTCAGTAAACACCAGAAAGAAGTTGGGAGTCTTTGAAATGTGGTGATACAGGTTAATGCTAAGAATTAGCTACACTGACAGGTAAACAAATTAAGAAACACCTAAGATTAGCAAAAACTTCAAGTGAAATACTTAAAACGTAAATAAAAAAAATTAGATACTTTGGTCATATAATTAGGATGAGAGGATAATTAGAGAAATATTAAAGGACACAGTTGAGGGTAGGGGGCCAGTGGGAGGCAGAGACTGGGATGGATGAATGAAATACAAAATTGGATCACCAGAGAGATGCAAAACCTTATGAAGTTGAAAAAGCAGATCGGTCCCATCTTGATGCCTTGGGGGATGTCGCAGATAAGTGATTGCGAGGCGGAGACAGCCACTCGGAATCATACCGTTGGTTACTAAGGAAGTCCCTAAGCCATGGTATGAAACTTCTCCGAAAGTCGAGGCTTTGCTGATAATTAAACTGCAATTGACTTATGACGAATACCTTGGTGAAATCAATGAAGGCAATAGCCACAGAATGTCTTTACTTTTTTTCAAGATGGTGGTATATATAATCGAGAGAGCTGACAAGACAGTAGGTGGTGGAGGAAGTTTTCAGATTGCCTAATTGCTGAGGATTTATGGAGCCTGCAATATCAGCAAAGGCCTAGTCAAAAACGAAAATTTCGCACAATAAGCTGGGTATTGGGTGATGGCAATGGGTCGTAACACTTTAAGAACTGTGGGCTCGTTGACTTGGGCACTGGTCATATATATGAGGTCAGCTGGGCATCTTGTTTGACTGAGAGAAGCACTGATGATGGAACAGAGGGGTTTAGCTAGTTCCGGGAGAATTCTTTGCAGAGCTAAATTAGTAGGTCAATAGGGGTGGTAGAGCGTTTGATCCTAAATTTTTCTAACAGCCTTGTTGCTTCAGATTCTTCCAGTAAGTCAGTGGGAAAGGAGTCTGGTAGGTAAACGGGAAGAAAGGTTGTGTCAAGCCGGGGAGCGTCTGGCATGTAGTTGCAAAATGATTGTTTGATTGCTCAGCTGCGTCATCATTAGTGAGATGGGTACGGATAGGGAGGGGCTGTGTCTTATTGTTAAGTCCACAGAGTTCCTTAAGCACACCATACCACTGACTGATGTTGGTCTGCTTCAGGTGTTGCAGCTTGGTTGGGTAGTAAGACTTCTTTGCAGCGTGTACTACACAGGTGACTTTGTTGTGACGTATCATGTAACTGTTGCTGTTGTTGACATAAAAGGCTCTGTTTTTCTGTGCATAAATCTTTTGATCCGAATTGTGATCCAGGGCAGATCAGGTGGATGTAATCTGACAGACTTTTCAAGGGAAGAAGTTGTGGTGAGCTTCCTTGATGGTTTTGATATAGCTTGACTTTTTTGTGTCTACGTCATCTACGCTTGATACTTCAGTCACGGTATACTAAACATTCCACTGTCGGAAGAGACGCATTGCATAGTCCGTAATCAGCCTGTAGGTCTTGGTGTAAGAGCTCTGCACGTTGCTGGTCGATGGGGACTGGGGTCCAGAACACTGATAGGTGTGTGCTATACCAAGTATATAATATTGACTGTGGTGGTTGGTAATGGTCTGCTAAGTCAGTTAAGATACGATCAAAGGTGATTTGAACGAGCATAGGAAAATTTACAGCTTATGATAGTAGCAGCTGGTCCTCGATATCAGTGGTGTCAATTTCGTTAAAATCCTCACACGGTGAAATTTGTACCTAACTCTGAGGTGGTCTGAGGTGGTAATGAGGTGATTGGTAAGAGCGTCTTTGGTGGGTGAGCGGCAGTATGGCGGGGGCGAGCGTGTGGTACGGGGGACCGGTGGTAGAAGGGGTACTGTTCTTGCCTCGCAAGCGAGATGTCACGGGTTCGATTCCCGGGCCGGTGGAAGTTGTTTGGACTTACTTCCAAGCCCCCATTAGTCCCTGTTCACCTAGCAGTACAGTAGGTACCTGGTGTAAATCGAAAGTTGCGAATTCGTATTCAGGGAAAGTTGTTGGAGCTTCCAATAACTTGATGACATAAACCACTGACTCTTCAGGCTTCTACGCCCGTAACTAATGAGACATAAAGGCAAGCATGAACTTAGCATGCTTCTCTGTTGGGCGCTGTAAACGCTTCTGCGCTTCACCTTACACAAGGATGTAGGAGGGGGGGGGGGCCCAATAAAAAAAAAGCATTTGGTACAATACGTAACCATAACGCCTCCACATTAGCTGGAACTTAAACATCCAGGCGCGATGAACGTAGGTAATTGTGACAGAAGAGAGAAACGCCCCCACCACACACATTTGTACGGAGGTGATGGAAGAGTTGGGATCTCTCAATATGGCAAGTCTCGGGAACAATTTGCCACGCCTCACAGATGGCAACAACGTCGGCTGTGACTGACCTGACTGTGGTGGTGAGCTCATCAAATATATTAGCGAGGGAAGTGACGTAAGAGAGCAATAAAGATAGGAGACTGTACCATATTCGGGGAACTTCAGAGTGTTGATACGGTCTGTCACGAGTGGGTTTCCTCGGTATTATGCTGGAGGTGAAGGTCCTGGTGGGTTTCTGTAAACGATGTGTTTGCTTGAGGCTTCGAGCATGAAATATGTTCAGTGATTTTAATAACATAATAGCACTGTCTCTTGGATACCCATTTCCACGCATTAAACTAAACCGGAAACGTCGAGGGTTTTTCTTAGTGGGTGTATGGCCGTAGCCGCAACACCATTGGTAATGGTTGGCAGTAATACTTGGCTCTGCCGTGGCACTGAGCCTTGTGCCACCAACCATTTCCTGCGAGGACTGATACTTAAGTATTTGTTTGTAATTAGTTTGTGCACTGCTCACTTAAATGTTTGCTAATGAATCCAAGTGTAGTAAAGAAGGGGGCTATGGGTTAGGAAGGGGGGCACATTCGTTCTCTGGCCGTTTAAGAGGGCCAATAACACGTCTTACCCCTGGGGTGGGGTGGGGTGGGTGTGCGTGCGTGCGAACGTGTCAGTTAAGTAAAAGAAAATAAAAGTGTGCTTTATTCAGTTCAAAAGAACATGTCAAACAACTTGTTCTATTTATTTTTCAAAGATTACTAATGACCACCATAATGACTTCCTGCAATTACGTAGCTAAAAACCTTCAGAAATGACTCAAGAGTGAGTCGCCTTGGAAACACAGAAGCGTGGAGAGGGTGGAGTCCTTTGTCTCGTGAGCTACAGTCAGTTATATAGGAAATACTTTCACTCTGTGTAGGAGTTATGTTGATATCTTTAAGCTGATAAAGACTACAAAATAATGAAGTGAAAGTCATAGTGTAGTATTTCTCTTTCCTACACCTTACATCATGGTTGACGGTGGGGAATATAGTTGAAACCTCGTGTTCCTTGAAACACGAAGATATTACTCACACCCTTGTATGTCAGTAGATGTTTTACGCCTAGTGGGTTGTGTACCCATACTCTTGAATATACAACCTTCCAGCATTTGTAAAACATTTAATAAAAGACAAAGGAGTTAAGAAGCAAAGCTTGAGGTACACTCACTAAAAAATATTCTGCACCCTTGTCTCTGAAACCATTCGCAACGATCACTGCGACAAAAATCGTGATGAGTGTTATTGAATTTCCTGGTCCGGTGTGTCATATAACCCCGTAAAGGTGCACAATAATCTTATAGTAGTGTACATGGCTTAAGGTACTTGTATTGTGACAGAGGATGTTACGGGTTTCTGGGAGGAATATTTTCTTCTTCATCATCATTACTTACTACAAAGTTGCTAAGCTTGTTCCACTCGTCCACCACCCTATTTGTGAACCAGTTCCTTCCTATCTCCCTCCTAAACCTAAACTTATCCAACTTAAATCCGTTGCTCCGAGTCCTATCCTGCTCGGATATTATAAGAACTTTATCTATATCCCCTTTATTGATTCCTTTCACCCACTTAAATACTTCTATCATATCTCCCCGCACTCTTCGTCTTTCTGGGGAATGCAAGTTAAGTTTCTTTAGCCTATCCTGATATGGAAGGTTTCTAAGTCCCGGAATCATTTTCGTCATTCTTCGCTGCACCGACTCTAGTGAATTGATATCCATTCTATGATAAGGGCACCAGAACTGAACCGTATAATCGAGGTGCGGCCTGACTAGCGCAAGATATAGTTGCAATAAAACCTCTGCAGTCTCATTACTTACACATCTAGATATAAAACCTAATACTCTGTTTGCCTTATTTCGAACATTAACGCAATGTTTTCTAGGCCGTACGTCCGGGCTTACAAGAACCCCTAGGTCTCTTTCACAAGTCGATTTCTCTAGGTTGATGTTGTTAAGGCCGTATATATTGTCAGTATTTGTTCTTCCAATATTAAGTACGCTGCACTTGCTGGTGTTGAATTTCATTTGCCATTTTTCAGACCACCCCTGCAGTTCATTTAGATCCTCCTGTAACGCATTTGCATCCTGCCCTGAAATAATCTGCCGCCCTATTTTGGTGTCATCCGCAAACTTGCTTATGTCACTGCTGATCCCAGTATCTAGATCGCTTATGTAGATTATGAACAAGAGTGAGCCTAGTGCTGACCCCTGGGGAACCCCACTGGTCAAACGGCCCCACTCAGATTTAACACCATCTACGCTGACCCTCTG